TTAAACGGGTATTTATAAATCACAAAAAGAAAATTTTTAAAAATGACAAACAAAACACTTTTACTTGACTACATAAGCAAGAATAACGACTGTAATATATCTTAAATACGTATTTCAAAATGTTTTGACAAAAATTATACGTTGAAACTTAAATGGCATCTATACTAGTCATCAAACATTTGGCTCGGCTAGCTGATTTATTTGTTATTCCGTAAGATAATTTTTAAATAAAATTAAAAAAAAAAAATAAAAACATTTTATTTAATAAAACTTAATTCAACTGTATTAGTTTGGATTTCATCAAAATACATCACTCGTTTAATCGTATACTCATTTCTCGTATGATAAATTATTGTAGACTATAATAATTAATAATGGATAATATTTTGAAGTAAAAATAACTTCAATTATCTGGATTTAAATGTATTCAACTATATTCAGTCTCTATAAAGTTGGTATGTTTAATATTATTGAGTTAAATAAAAAAAAAAAATTGTAGATAGATCAAATTGTTCGATAGATTACTAGAGGAGGGTTAGTACAAGACATTTTACATTTATTTATATAATTTATTAATTCCATACACTATTTACATCCCTTTAAGATAAAATAATATACAGTCTAAAAACCACATATAATTTGAAATGACAATTTTAAAATAGAATTGATTTATGATTATTCTGGTCAACACGAATTCCAATATATTATTATTTATATTAAAACTTTACCTAGTATAAGTATACTATGTGTATAATAAGTAGATATAAAGTTAGTTTGCAGTTTTATCATGATTACATAAAATTTATATTATACGCATAATATTTGTGTTTAATAAACATTTATAAATACAACTTATCTGTTTAAATATCTAATTATATATTTCTCCAAGTTATATCATTAAATAATTTGTACTTACTCTGTAGTAAGTTGACACAATTTTCTTTTACATCGACCAAAATTTAATATAAAAATTTTGAATTATAATATATGAAAAAAAAATAGTGATTTTACATATTTTTTGGTAAAAGTAATTTGAGCGGGAATTTATTATAAATGAGGTTAATAGTTTCCGTTAACAATAATCACGCAGTCATGGATAAATAAACATCAATCTTTTTTTTCTACTTGACTCAATGTTCAGGAAACATTGTCATACAGTGTTACCTCTCGTATGGAACTACCCCGCTTTCCAATATATTATATTGATAATCCATTTATTTTAAAATTATAATAAAGTGTATTTTATTTTAAATATTATACAATTTACATAGTCAATTATTTAAAGTATAAAGGTGCTTTTATTAGAATATAATAGTAGGTACATAATAATATACATAGCGATAGATAATTTTTCAGTTAATTTTATTAATAATGGTATTAATTGAGATTTGAGGACGTATAAATACAATTTATTCTGAGAAGTTTTTTAACTCAAAGCATAACAAGTATAATAGTGTATTTATTATAAACGGTTTTATTTAGCGTAAAAAATATTAGTCTCTACTTTAAAACTATATCTCCAATCATATTGTAAAGTATAGAAACTGATTACTACGAATGATTGCAAATCCATATAACATTCTATCCATATAAAGTTAATGATATTACCTACATATTTTATTTGTTTCATATGAATTTAAATACAACCTAAACATTCTAGTAGTAATTCGAATAAGAAATAGTACTTAAACAAAAATAAATTAAGATTAAAAAAATAATAACAGCATTGATTACAACGAATATAACCTATAGAAAGAAAAAACTTTAACTATATGAAAATAATTTAGAACATACCTATTAACATCACCTCTATACAAGATAAATTAGTGTTCAAAACGTCAAAAAAATTAATTCGTTCACATTCTAAGTGAATAAAAATATTGTGTAAGTTTACGTTATTATTTTTTCAAACGAACATTCATGTTTGCATTTCTCAAAAAAAACATTAACGGTTTCATAATACGGTCTTTCACAAATCATACCATAATTAGTTATTTGTATATGTTTCCTACTCATTACACTACATAATATCATCATCATCAATTATGTTAGAAAAATCTTATATTTCTTGTTTTTTTTCTTATTTATCGAAGCTTATGTAAAAATATATTTAATTTATTAATAACTAAAACATTACTAAGTTTGTTAGTTTTAACAAGCACATATCATCTTTGTTGATTTTTTTATTATCCTAATTATTCTTTTTCAAACGTTACTTAATTGCTGTAAGAACAGTGGATATAGAGAATGAATTGTACGAATCAGTGAAAAGGATAAACGTAGAAGAAAGTTTGTAATAATTTTCAATAATTTTTGTGTATAGTATAAATATCCAACTGTTATATTGTTTACAACGGTATAGAAGAAATTTTAGTAAATTGCACAGACTATTATTTTAATTTTGTATAAAACAAAAATATAATTAAAATTATACATACCAACCTACAAAATAATTAAAACTTGATAAAAAATAAAAATAAAAATAAATATAGTTTAAAACTTTAAATGATCAAAACAATGTTTGCAGTGAATACGTGCTTACTAAATACTATCAGATCAGATCCTATATTTTCTCGCCGTTCCATTTCGCTGAATTTATTTTTCGAGCTACTTAATATAACTTATAAATTACAAATTACGAGTACATAATAATTAATTATTCTTATTTTTATGTATTTATATAAAATTTCATACGCTATTATTTGATACTTTTTATAAAATCATAACTAATAAAATCGATAACTTCATAATAATGTAAGATGATATAAAAAAGTTCTTAAATAAATTAAAATTATTCTAGATGTTTATAAATTATAACTACAAATCAATCAATTTCATTTGTGGAAAATCACTTGTCAGTTATTACTCTCTCTTTAAGACAGAAAATATTTAGTTCAAGTTTAATGTATTTATTATGAATTCTTTTAACTTTTTCCATGCTGGAGAAGTTGTGTGTCACCCTCAACTTTGGCGTGTTCTTTTCGTAATAAAACTATAAATTCAAATACACTGGAATAATTTCAACCGGCTACTTTATTTAATGCATAATGCCAACCTTCTACTCATAAATCATTAATTGTCCGCCTATTTGTATTATTTCAGTGGTTGCAAATATATCAACTAAATCTAAATGTTAAATCGTTTAACCATGTTTCAATAAAATAATTTAAAAATTCTCTCACTTTTTGTTTATTCTCAAGTTTTCACTTTTAATTATTAGTCGTAAATTATCTATCTGTTCTATTGAAACTAGAGGTAAAGCTGAAAGTCTACGAACCAAAGTTTTAATTATTGACTCCGGAAGAAACGTAATCATTTCACAGCCATGGTTTAAAATAAAAATAATTTGAGAATTATGCGGTAAATGTATACAGATGATTCAAGATACTGTAAAACAAATTTTTACTTAAATAGTATTCTTGCTTATATTATTTTTTAAAACAACGTTTAAACGTAAATTAATTAAATGATTTATGTATGATATATTTAATAATATTATAATCGAAAATTGAAAACATATCTGCAATAAATTTAGTAATATTATATTTTATATTATTAAATTAATGTATGTTAATAAAATATATTCAAATAATTTTGAACATTTAAAGGATTAAACGACTTTTACTTGAGCATTGTTTCACCTGTTTAAAAAATACTAACATTATAAATAGCTATATTTTTAGATAAATTAAAAATTTAACTAATTTATTAAATATTTAGCTACAATACCTACATCATTTATGTTTGATTTAATTATGTTTTGATTTGAACAATAAAGTGCACTTTATTGCTAATTTATGAAAAAAAAAAAAAAAAATTGAAAACTTCAAAACTTCAAAACATGAACGACTGAATGGGTATTAATTGTTTTATGAAAGAAAATGTGTAATACTTGTAATTTCGTTTAATATTCTTAACACTGATATTTCAAAGCAAACGATTGATAGGTTTCTTGTATATATACCTAAGATTATAAAAGTCAACGTACAGTAAGAAATGTAATTTCTCGTGAAAATATGACTAACGAGAATGTCACCAACCGAACAGCGTAAAGGTATAATAAAAGTTTATAAGTGATCAAAATATTGTTAACACGTGAAAGAGTAACATATTATTGCACACGGGAAAATGAGACATCTGTTTTCATAGACTATATTATATTATAATCGTATGTAGATACACGTGTACAGAAACAAAATCTTGCGAAATCTTATTCGAACCATAAAATTCCAGACGTTCAAATCAACATACACGTCGGTCCGACGACGTTTTATTATCACCGCGTATGGGCGTAGCTAGGATTTTAATCAGGGGGAGCAGTTGATAATTATTTTTTTTTTTGCTTTTTCGATTTTATAGTAAAACTTACACGTTTGGTATAAAAAATAGAATTTAGTTTAAAGCGCAGGGGGGGACACTTATCCTTGCCCCCTGCTCCAGCCTCGCAACACCCACGTCACCGCGGTTTCTAGAACCCATCACAAAACACATCATTATCATCATCATATCGTCGTAATGATGTCCAACACAATAAGTTACAATTATTACGCGACTCGCGTGATGTATAAGCAGCAGTTTGCAGGCCGCGGTCTGTGCAGAACTGCATAGTATAGGTACGGTGCACAGCATCGGAGTCGTATGCGGCATCGACGGGGCGCGCGTCAAAACTCGCGCGCGCCGAAATCTAGACACAAGCATGACGTCATGCTCGTCGGCGGTGAACACGACCGTGACGTCAGCGCGCCGTACGCCCGCGGTCCGACGAAAAACACTCGGCCGCCGCGCCGCGCGCGTTTCATTTACGGAGTTGTTGCCTTGGTTTTTCCGCCTACAGACACCATCGGCGGCGGCGGCACCGTTCACCGATCGCGCCGCATAGGCAACGGCCGGCCGGTCGTTCGGCGGCCACCACGCGTATAGCCGTCGCGGAGGACCGGCTGTCGCGTAAAAAGTCCTCGGCGCGCACACCCTGTCCGGACGGCGACCAGAACGCCAACAGGTGCGGACGCGCGCGCACATGAAATTTGTACCTACGTAATAATATTATTATCGCGCGCGTATTTGTCATTAGACCGCCGCTGCGGTCGTCCGCATGCACGCCGCGCGCAACGCGACCAAAACATAATATTATTATCGTCTCGTCCGTCGCGTATTCCGCGTGGACTGCAGTGCCGCCACCGCCGCCGTCGTATCGTCGTCGTCGTCGTCAAAACGTATATTATAATAAGTGTATAAGTGTGTGTGTGTGTGTGTGAGCGCGCGCCCGCGTGTGCGTGAGTTTCGAATCTCTTCTTCGTGCGGTAGTACCCCCCACCCGCCGGATTCGTTCGCTTCTGTGGACGTAAACGCCGGGTCACGCACGCGCTCGCGGTTTTTTTTTTTTGTTTTTTTTGTCGATTACATTATTGGTTTTTCGAATTTTCGTTAACCTGTGTGCGTCGTCGTCTGGTCGGTCGACGAGGTGCGTTCTCGTCGTGTCACGGTACACGATACCGTAATAATTGTACCTATTGTTATTGTTAATATTATTATTAACGATACGCGACAATAAAGGAATCTCGTTGTAAACATAATAATAATAATAATAATCGGTTTGTACATGTACGACTGGTCGTCAGAAGACAGTACGCGTGATCAATCCGATATACCGGTCGCGGGTACCCGATGGTCGGCGGCGTCGCCGTGCGCAGCTGACGCTGGCCATGGTGGTCGCGACGGACGCGAGACGGCGAAGTTGCGCGGGCTATGAAAAAGAATGTTGGCGTCGACGGCGGAGGCGAACGCAAGTCCCTGCGGAACAGGCGCCGTCGGGGGTTGGACGGTGACGGGCAACCGCCATCTCCATCGCCGGCGACTCCACCGCCGCCGACCGCAGCCACGGCCACAGTCACCAGCGGAGCGCTGCACAGTCTTCAGGCGGTGGCGGCCGCGTCTTCGTCGGTAGCGGCGGCGGCGGGGTCGGCGGTCGTGGTAGTTGACGGAAGGGATCCGACGACGGCCGTGAACACGACAGACGATTGGCTATTCGCCGATTGGTTAGACAGCGGTGGTGGCGGCGGTGGCGGCGGGAGCATAACTGCAACAGGTACGTGTACAACCACTACGCAGCTATAAAACTCATTTACGACTATCGTTAACATCCCTCCAAACCCGAACACTCACACCCCTTCGTTTATAACGGTACGCAACCTTGAAAAACGCGTGCGGTTTTCACGACGATTGACGGCGATGACGAATGTACTGACGCGACCGATATATAATATTATGGTTAAATACATAAATGATTATATATTAATATATATATATGAGTCTAAAATAACTCTCACTACTAATACTAAACCTATAGGAGCGTGGACGATTTTATAATATGCGTACCTATCGATGGAAGATTGTGTTCGTTATGCCGAATGTATCATAATCGCTGTAAACTACAAAATAATGATTAATGGTCGAATATAACTCGACAGCTTTATGGCAGCTATTTTGTAACATTATATAACGGTGGCTATTGAATACATCTTGAAAGTTTCACATTTTAATAAAACGATCGAGTTGAAATTGTGTTTGAAAAAAAACCATTATATGTATATTAATTACTAAAAATAGAGTCGATCATATTTTTTTTCTGCCAAGGTTAGGATAGTATTGGATTTGTTTCTTGCAAATTTTCAAACGGGTCAGCTAAACAGAGAATTCGTTTATACCGATTCTGAAATAATAAATTAATAAGCGTTATAAACCAACCTCTGCGTATATTAAACCTGACTCCAATGAGAAAAATGTATTACTATTGCTTAAATCTTTGCATATACAGTATATTATTAAAGTACAATTAATATTGTCATTTTTTTTTTTTATTATTATTATTTATCTAAAACTTCAGTTACAAAGGTCATTTTTATACATGAAGCTATGTGGTAACTTTAGACCTATTGCTTCATATAAATTTGGATTTATTTTATCTTTGCATCTTGTTTCACATCGTAGGATTTACATTCCGCGAGAATGTGTTTTACCGACATGACCACTCCACATGAAGTGCAAATCGCCGGGTCTTAGTTTTACATTAGGTGAACATAAGTACCTAGCTGATTTTGAAACTACATGGCTCAGATTCCCAATATATTTATTATTGATTCAATTTTTCTCAATGCTCCAGTAGACTGTCATGGTAATATATTTCATTTTATTTCGTTTAGTTTGATTGGCTTTACTAATAGACCTTGCCAAGCTAAGTGTTGAGTGTGGATTTTAAAATAGTTTTTTTGGTGTTTACAATAATTGTGGATTTGTTGAGATTGAGTATTATTGATAATGATGATTCTTTATTGCTTATCGATCGGCTTCTTTATTTCCACAGTGTTCCGGTATACAAATAATGGTTATATTTTTATTTGTAGATTTATGTTTTTGTATTTTATTGATTATTATTATTGTAGCGATTTCATCGAGGTAGTAATTTTTTTGTATGCTGTTGATGGTACTTGGGGAGTTATTGGACGTATTAAATTTAGATAGGAGAATTTTTCATATGGTCGAGGGCTGTGATTATGGCTAGAGATTTTGCTGTGCATAGGAATGGAGTTTAGATTTGTTAGTTTGTAGAATGCAAGTATAATAAATATACTACTGCATATTTATAGTTCACCATTAATTATAGTGAATATAAATGATAAATTTCTAAAAATAATTTTTAATTTGTCAATTTTTCCATACACCATAATGTTAGAAAATAAAATTCATATGATTACATAATTAGTGCATAAAAAATAAACAAGATTTAAAAATCTTCTGAAATATATATTTTTTTTTTTTTTTAAACATGAAATATAATGTAATAACCTCTTATAGGTAGTAGGAAGTATGTAGAACTATTAAAATTTTAAGAACTATATTAACCATAATGTCCGTTACACTGTCAACCAAAGTCTAAAAGCCAATCGTTATGGGCGTTTATTAGCTCGAGGGACTTTTTATCTCAGACAACGTATACAGTATACTGATTGATAGAAATTTCCTCGTACAGATAATATCGTGTACGCATTACATTATATATTTTACGTATGTTTTTCCCTTTAGGGCTCTTATATACATAAGCACACCATAGGCGTACGCACGAGCAAAACATAATTATAATTACCGGTATTTATAATTGATTATAGTATCGGTAAGTGTACTTCGATTTGTAAATAGCTCTAAAATCGCTGGCGGGTGTACTCGCTACCATAGTTCGTTTTTTTTCTTCGTGTTAACCGGATGAGTCAGTTCTATTGGAAATTTATAATTTTTAAGAATTTACGGATGTCAAAATCGTATGCATTTGAAAAAAATTAAAGAAATAATAGCCTTTTTTAAAGATGACATGTCCTACTCAGGCCTTACTACTTAGTTTGTACACTATACTATTACTAATTCGTGTTGGACAATATTCTATATCTCTACTACATTAGCTGTATTGCTGTAAAGTGTACCTGTAAGTAATTTTTTTACTAATTTATTTTTATCGAAAATAATTTTTTTGAATATAAAATACAACTTAATTAATTCATTTAAAATTTCTACTTATGCATAACATAAGCCTTTATTATATAGTATCAATACAAGTTTAATACGTATGTATTTTAATGACAGTAAAAATATACATCATTAGATATAGGTATAAATGTATAATAAATTCAATAGTAAAAGTTTGAGATGATTATTTAAAATTCACAATATTGTTACTATAATATTGATTTCAATTTCAAACACTATTAAAAAATAAAAAAAGAGAAAGTTTTTAGCTAAATAACATTTTTATTGGGTACTTCGTTAAACAACCACACTTGTAAACACAATTTTTATAGGATTTACCTTTTTTATTCTTTACAGGGTTATACTTTATATATACATTTATTATACTTGTGGAGTATATTAAAATGGACACTACACCATGGCTTTACATAAATTTTAATACGAAGTAAATTATATTTTCACCGCCCATTCAAGTATATAAGACCTTTTTGTTCAAACAAAACAATATACCTACCTAATAATAATTTTTCATATTAATATTCGAATAATAAAAATTGAAAAATATTCATTTAAGTGCACAAATATTGTAAATATTTAAGCAAAGTTGTACAAATGCTCTTTTATATTTTTGTCTGAGTACTTAAAAATTATATTATTGATATAATGAACATTTTCTAGATGTATATGTGCATGCATTATTCAATAATATAGAGAGGAACCCTACGGTTTTTGGAGGCCCCTGAGTAAGGTTTTTAAAGTTAGTTAAACATGTCGTTTTCGCAAAACATTCATAAAATAAAAGAAAGAAAAAACAGGTATGGTCGTGTATAGCTTTATATGGAATTGTGATCAGAGAGGGCCAGTAAACCCAAGGTGTCCCGAGTGGGCGACATAATAATAATAATAATAATAATAATCGGAGGTGCACTATAATAATCGGTTTAGATACTCAGTTTAATAGTATTTCCTAGTGTGGATAGTGGTTAATTAAAAACATAATTTCGATCCGGTTATTGGGGATACAACAATACGTTACCTAAATAATTTTTTCAAGATAAGAAAACAGCGAAACGACCATTAAAATCTTATTGAAAGAGCATCTTTTATCAAGAATTTTCTAAAAAAATAATACTACCCTACATTAAACGTATCACATTATACATTCATAAAATTATAAACAATAATATTCATGTATAAAAAAAAAAAAATTGAAAGGGAAGCATAAAATATTATCAAAACTAAACATAATTGAATACTACCACGACAAAAACAAACAAAAATTATAATAAAACCAAATAATATAGCAAAATTAAATGATGAATACCTAATTATAATGTACGTATAAAAGTACCTAAACATAATAATATAACAATTTTAATGAATTTATCTGTATATCTGTACACCTATATTGCAAAATATAAATTATTTATTTATGTCAATGAAAAATTAATTGTATTAACTAAATTGTATAAATTATACATATCATATTACAAAAAAATAATATCAAGTAGTTAGTTGAAAATTTGAATTCATATTTCTTTAATATGTATTAAAATATACGTTTAAATTATTTACTTTTAGTTTTCCGATACTTAATTAATGATTAAGTTAAATAAGAATTAATAAAGTACTGATAATATAATATATAAAAATAATTTAAACCTCATACCAATTTATATACAGTAAAATTATTGGGCACATATTTATAGAAAGAAAAGAAAAAAAGAAAAGTTGACTTTTTGAAGTCATCTGCGCTTACAACTATTAGTTGTATATTATAGTCTACTCAATCCAGTACTCTATATCCAATGACAATAAAAGGTAGATGATCCTATGATGTCTTACCATTATTATTTTAGCAATGTCAAATGACTTTAGATTAGGCTAGTTAGGATACCATAATTATATACCTATTCAATTTAATGTTAATAAATAATAATGTAATTTATATAATACTAAAATAGTTCAATGAATTAATTTATGGGTGGAATTAAGATAAGTTATATTGGCGTGTTTATAGGAAAAAAAAGTATAAAAGGGATAATTATATAAAATGTTTTATCTTTAAAAAATTGGATACTTAATTGATACCATAGTACACATATACATGTGTCATATAGTATACTTGTGAAACAATAATTTATTAACAAATAATGACAATGTTAAAAATGTATGATTATATGTTATAATCAACAGGAAGCTATACCAATCAGAATTTTCCATTTAACCGGAATTAATATATAAATAAATTACAATATTATATTTTATAAGCACACAGGCGAGATTAATTCTTTCGTTAATTTGTATTAATTTGAATAATTTACTAACCAAGAATATTATAATAATATAATTTAATTATATAAATTATGTAATAACGCAAGTGGTTGGATAGTTATTGTATAAGATGGTAGATTAAACTAAAAATAATGTCTGGAACTAAAGTTTTCGAGAGCTGAAATCAAAAATCTACTGTAGTATATTCTGATTAGAATAACATATACCAATAGTTTAAATATTAAAGACACAAAATTTATGAGAAATTATAGTGGGTCAAAACAATTTCTTTAAAAG